TTTAGGATCCTAATCATACAACCTAACACAGATAAGGCCTGGAGCAGAGGGAAAGAGCCCACCCAGCTTGGGGCCCCAGGAAGACTGGGGAAAGTCAGTCGTGTTAAAAATGGAAGCTCATCCAACTCTGAGCATGTTTGTAGTTTTCCCTTATTGCAAATTTGATATTATAAAAATAGATTTGCTCTTTGGAGCCAGATGGCATGCAGTACTTCTGAAGTTAAATCCAGCCTTATGATGACAATGGCCATTGCCAACAAGGAACCACTTGGACTGTGATGCCAAACTCTTCAGCTCTTGGTGAGTCCTTTTCATCAGGCAAGCACTTCTGAAGCTGTTTGAGTGCAAATATACTTACATGTCCCTTCACAACAATGGGAATCTCGCTGGAGACATTTTTGTGATGATTGCTTTTGGTGGAATCTCTTTTCTGTTTGCTGTGTTTTTGCTTATGGTTTTCATCTGCCTTATTCTTGTCTGAAAAAAATAATTAAGAACACATAAATAATAACCTTGGCAGTGATCACCAATTAGCTGGTTGCTTCACAACATGATTTTACTGCTCATTTTCTGATGGTTTCGTTGACTGACTGATTGATTGATGCATCCATTCATTCTGTAACGTCTACCATGGCATCCAAACACGATTATAGGATCGGGTGTGAAAAGATGAACACAGAGCTTATCGAGACAGGGCATTGAAAAGCCGCGACATCTTCGGAAACCCTTTACAGTTTTCTCAGCTCTAGCTTCTGTCTTACGTAGAAGATAATAATAGTAATTGTACCTCAAATATCATTTATAAAAGTGACTTATAAACTGTAAAATGCCATGCAAGGGCTTTTGACTCTCAGAGGCTAGAACTATCACTGGAATATTGTATACTTTAAGTGAATAAGAACATTTTAAGCATCTATTCCATGCTCAGAACTATGTGAGCAGTTTTTGTAGGTAAAAAGACGAATCCTACAGGGATTCTGTATTCAAGAAATCTATGAGAAGAAAATAATTTAGTCTTAGAGAATACAAAAATGTAGTCATGGAGTTAAAAAAAAGTTCCTATATGAGTAGTTTATTCGCCAGACAAGGCCATCAGCATTGTGATTCTCTGTCATCCTCAGCTCTGATGCTGCAATAACTCACTTTTAAAGATAACACCAATTATTTTAAGATATGCTACAAGCCTCTTTAAACACAAGAAATGACTCACTTTTATTTCACTAGCAATATTCCGCTTGCTAAACAATTTTCTAATCTCACAGCAGTTAGGAAACTTGATGGTCACTGAATGCAGGCTCCTTTTCTCTATATTTTCCAGAAACAAAAGTGGTTTTCAGTAACAATTGGAAAAATATTCATTTGTGATTAAGAGCAAATATGCAGTTGCTTAAGCAAAATTCCCAAATGCAGTCTTGCCCCTAAAACGTATTTAAATTTGGGCTATTTCATTAGTTATGTGATTTAAGAAGGTAAGTTAACGTTTTGAACTTCAGCTTCCTTATGTGTAGAATGGGATAACAATGCCCCATTTTCAAGATGTAACATAAAAATGTGTGCAGATCAACTGTGTTAATTAGATGCAGGCTTTGTTTCTCTAACAGAGGGACCTTGAAATAGAGTGGCTTGAACCAACAGAAGTTTCTTCTCTTCTCATGTGGCAGCCTAGTAAGTGGTTCATGGACACTCAATGGTATGGGGACCCAGCAAGGTTCCCTCATGGGTTATAATAACCTGCTTCTAACATGGAGACCAGCAAGACAGGTAGACCAGACAGATAAGGAACACACTTAGTGACCAGAGGGGGTGGTCAAGGGCATCAGGGTCCTGGTCCACTCTGTTGCTACCACATGGATAATCAGAGAATTGGTTGCCTGCAGTTTAGGGGATCATCTCATGGTCTTATGGGACTCACTGATGCCTGTCATGTCTCATCTCTTCTCAGGGCACCAATTGCATTTTTCTTACAGTAATGATCATCATTTGAATAATTATTTGTTAGCATTTTTGCCTTTTATGAGGGTGTACTTTGCACCAAAAGGGGCCTTACAATCTTGTGAGACTTGGGTTTAAAGTTGTAGGAACATTACATGGTGTGTGTGTGTGTGTACCAGTGTTGATGTGAGTGCCTGTGTGGGAAGGGATGCATTCAATCAGGTGGAAGGGGGCAGCTGTAGAGGAGGCCTCCTAAACAGTCACTGGGGATCGCAACCTGGGAGAGGGTTCTGGAAGGGTGTCTTTATCCTGGTGGGATTGTATAACTGGTAGTTGCTGCTGCTCTTTCAGACCAGGCATCCGTGAACTCAGGATCTATGGGGTTGCAGCGGAGGGCTCCGGCTCCCATTTCCCCCAGAGGCCACAGGACTTCCCGGCTCTGAGTAGGTGTTCCAGATGGCGCTGCAGGTAAGTGTCAGATGGAAAACCAGCATGCATCCTTGACACCTCCCCTTCCCCAGAAGCCACTTCCCTGAGTCTCTCCACACTGCCAGCAGAGGCTCAGGTGCCTGGCTGTCCGCCCTGCTCCTGGAGTTCTCTTTGACATTGCAGCTTGTGCACCCTGCCCTGGGGAGTGTGAGAAATCACAGACAGCAGAGGCCATGGGTCGTGCCACCAAACAGGGATTCTGGCCCTGGCTCTCATTTACATCTCTCCCCTCTTCTTCTTCCCTTGTAGCTGGAAAATTGCAAAGTGTCACACTGTGATACCTTAGCCAGGTGTTGGACCCTAAGACAGTAGGACGACAGGTAGTCACCTGATGTCCCTACACAGTCAGGGGAAGATGAATTCATCTCAGCGGAGTTTGCTTTTACTGTTACTGAGTTTGAAGTGATGCAGAAGTGGGAATGTCCAGGCAATTTAACCTGTAATAACAGAACCTGGGACACAGTCAGGTCTAGGGATGTAGATAGAGCCTCTCCAAAGTTCAAGGAGTTCTGCACCATTTTCAATTATTTTGAGCTTATTGGCATATCAGAAAATAAGGAATTGAAAAATAGGCTTATGGATTTTGTGGCATACTTAACATTTTTACGTTTATCACAATAACACCTTTAGTATATAGAAACAGTTCACCTGTGTTTCTATCAAGATAATTGTAAAGTTTCTACAATCTAGTTATGTATGAAGGATGAAATAGTTTGGCTTTATGAAAGGGTATAGGTCAGATGATCATTCATCTCACTCTGCCTGGGACAGTCTTGGTTTACACCTGTTGTCCCAGCATAATTATTAATAGCTCTCAAAAATGTGTCCTAGTTTGGATGATAAATGATTGGGTCAGCCTAGGAATATGTTTAAATCTGTATGCTGAATGCCTTTTCCCGTACTCTCCAAGTGGCTCCATAATGCTGTGTAAAGCTTATTTGGGGAAACAACAAAAGTCTCAATGGTAGGAACAGTGGGAGTGGGTCCTAGGAACCAATATGGGAGTCACCCACATAGACTGACACTGACTCGAATCCCCCAGGGCATTTCCTCAGTGCAGTACATGGATGGGGGATGCTCTCCAATACTTGACTTCTTCAAGTTGTTAATGATTTGAAAACCTTGTGATCCATGGTGTCCTGTGTGACAGTTGACATTACCAGTGACGGACTTGGCCTTCTGGGCCCTGTGGAACCAGGTTTCCATCCAGATTCTGCTATTTCTTGTGATCTCACACAACTTAGGATGTCTCTCTGAACCTTTCTTTTATCACTTGCATCTTGTGGCAGGATAATAATTCCTGCTTCAGTGGCCTGGCTGTATTAAATGAGATTTGTGTAATGTGCCTGAGGCATATTATGCACAAGGCACCAAACAGTCCATTTCTTCTTTAAAATATGTGTAAAATACTTATGGTTTTAGTACATCTTTAAGTTCCAGTTGAGATTTGTAAGACAGAGACAAGACACTTGCGGCAATTTCACAGTTTTGTGAGTGAAGTCCCTCTAACCTTAGGGGCCCAGTTAAACCAGAAGCTGAATTTGCCAGCAGATAGCAATGCGCAGGTTCCATCTCTGCTCCTTATGAACACTGCATAAATCTGAAATTCTCCACCACTGGAAAGAAATTTAATATTTAAAGGTAATTTGACCTGTACATGCGTGTATCATGAATATTTAATGAAACCTATAGCAAATGTATTTATATAGCGTTAATCTGAGGATATTTATTTCTTATTCATATTCTAGGATATTATTTCTTGGGCAAATGTGAAGTTACCCTCTGTAAGAAATGCTCAGCTCTAAATGTGCACTGAAAAATTGGAGACTGGAGCTATTCCGTTTTCTGCTATAACTTGTCAACACTGCCTTTGCTCCCTAAAAAGGAGAACAATTCTAAAAGGTTAAGATGTATCCCAAAGATATTATGGCCATAGGGTTAGACTATCACACCTTCACAGGGACCCCCTTTGATTCTTTTCTGTTTATTTAATGTCCAAAAATATAAAGAGCGGTTGAACTTTTTCACTTTCCTTTCATATCAGTGATTTCACTCCTTTGAGACATTTCAAATGGCCAGTGCTTTAAATTAAAAGGTATGCATGATTCAATGTAATTAATAATGTCTAATTTAGATAATTTTTTAAAATTTATTTTTTGAATAGGTTTGGACAGACACCTTAGAATGCAGGTGCTTTTCTTGGATGTAGCTTCAATGTTGGGATTTTTCTTTAAAGCGAAAACAAACATCAACAAGAAAAACAACAAATGAAAAGCACTGTGTACAGATGCAGTTTAGCATTATTTTGTTATGTTTTCACCACATCAGATGTGGTAGATTTGGAAAGAATAAAAAGTAAGTTCTTGTCTGATCGTTAAAAATTTTTATTCTTAAAGTCAAGGTCTCGCTGTGTCGCCCAGGCTGGAGTTCAGTGGTGGGATCATAGCTCATCGCTCACTGCCGCCTCGAATTCCTGAACTCAAGCGATCCTCCCACTTTAGCCTCCTGAGTAGCTGGGACTACAGGTGCATACCACCACCATGCCTGGATAATTTAAAAAAACATTATAGACACTGAAGTCTTGCTGTATTGCTCAGGCTGGTGTTGAACTCCTGATCTCATGTGATCCTCCTCCCCTGGAATTCCAAAGTGTGAGTATTACAAGGACAAGCCACCATGCCTGGCCTTGATCACATTTTATAACTAAAAAATTTCTCAACATATCATATTTTTCTGTGAAAGGAAAAAGATCACAGGAAGATGAGTATTCACTCCTTTCTTATCCTGGCTGGTAACTGTGAGCTGTAGGAGTTGTCTGTCTCTCTGGTCAAAGGTACTGTGAAGAGCTGTGCGTCTGAGAAAGTATACTTCCTAGACAAGTAAGTCATGACCAGAACCTTTTTCCATGTTTTGAATCTTTTCCATTTTATAAATAATCTTGTTCTTCTTTCAAATGTTACTCCAGCGAGGAAGACAAAACCAGTATTTATAATCAGCATACTCTTTTAAAAGATCATTAGCAAGATTTCATGTTTTGCTATCTCATGGAAAAAAAAAAATGTAAGATGAAAGCTTATGCTGCTGAACTATTTAGGAGCATAGAATTCCAAAGGAAGTTTTCAAAGACTATGTGTTTAAGAATTAGAGCCCAGAGGAATTGATGTGTTCACACTAAAATAAATGGTGTTGTTCATGTGGAAGGTTAGTTCACATGTGACTTGATTACAGTAGTCACCAAGCTCCACCCTGACTTTCCCTGATCTTCATTGTCCAATGGATCTTAACATCCAGCTTGGAGATGCATTGTCATTTTTTTTTTTTTTTTTTTTTTAATCTGAGACAGAGTCTTCCTCTGTTGCCCAGGCTGGAGTGAAGTGGCGCATTCTTGGCTCACTGCAACCTCTCCCTCCTGGGTGCAAGTGATTCTCTGCCTCAGCCTCCCAAATAGCTGGGACTACAGGCATTCACCACTACGACCAGCTACTATTTGTATTTTTTGTAGAGATGGGGTTTCTCCATGTTGGCCAGGCTGGTCTCAAATTCCTGGCCTCAAGTGATCCACCCACCTAGATCTCCCAAAATGCTGGGATTATAGGTGTGTGCCACCACGCCTGGCCACCATCTCATGTTTATACCTCCTCAGAGGCCTCCTTTGTGGCTTTAGAGCCCTTTCTTTTTCTCCAGTGGGGATAGGCAGTGTGTTACAGCCAATTGTTGTATCAGTTAGTATGACCCTAGGCTTTGAGATTTTGTGGAAAATGAGTTCCCCAAGCCAAAAAACAATTGTCAGTTTGTGTGACTGATTTCAGATTAATTTTCTGTTCTCAGCGCTCGGTGGGCCTAACATAGTAGTGATCTCGTAAACATATACACATATAATGGAAACAGAAAGCTTACAAAATAGCAATTCTTACTACATGTGATTACATGATGACATTTGCTGTTCTATACTCTTCTATTTTATTTTTTTTATTTTTTGGAGATGCAGTCTCACTCTGGTGCCCAGGCTATGGTGCAATGGTGCAATCTCGACTCACTAGAACCTCTGCCTCCCAGGTTCAAGCAATTCTCCTGCCTCAGCCTCCCGAAGTAGCTGGGAATACAGGTGCACACCGCCATGCCTGGCTAATTTTTTGCATTCAGGTAGAGATGGAGTTTCACTGTGTTGCCCAGGCTGGTCTTGAACTCCTGAGCTCAGGCAATCTGCCTTCCTCAGCCTCCCAAACTGCTAGGATTATAGGCATGAGCCACTGTGACCAGCATACTCTTCCATTTTATTAACAATACCACCACCACCAAAAACATGGTTCTCACAACCTACTAAATTGGTTTCTCAGTCCACGAATGACTCATGACTCCCAGTGTGAGAAGCATTGGCTTAGCACCTAACAAGGCACATTGCATTGAGTATTTGATCAGTGTGTATCTTGAATAACATAGTTTTTGTAATTTATTTTTATTTTTATTTTTACAAAGGCCACGCATAGATTTTTCCCACTGCTGCTTCTTTAGTGACCTTTCCTCTGTAGTCCAGCTCCAGTCTTTCAGTTTTAGTGCACAACAGAAATTTGCAGAACACTCAGAAAACTTTGGAGTAGGAGCTGTAAGTGGTAAGGAGACACAGTGATTTTGAAGCATAGATAAGACTACCAGGTAACCTACAGGACACCCAGTTACATTTGAATTTCTCATAAACAACGAATACCTTTTTAGTATAAGTTTATCCTGTATATTGCATAGATATACTTATGCTAAAAAAATTATCCGTTCCTTATCTGGAACTAGAATTTAACTGGGAATCCTATATTTTTATTTGCTAAATATAGAAACTCTAAACCCAAAGAACTGTGTTTCTCTCTTACAGTCAGCTAATTGAGCTGAATTTCATTTTTCTCATTTATAAAATGTGAGAGTTTACTTGAGAACCACTAAGGTCCTATTTAGGTGTAATTTTTTATGGTTTTAATTTTTTAGTTTTATTTTTCATGTATACATAAAAGTTGTACATATTTATGGGGTACATGTGATATTTTGAGGCAAACATGTAATATATATCCATCACCTTAAATATTTGTCATTTCTTTGTTGTAATCACTCCAAATCTTCTCTTCTATTTTGAAATATACAATTACTATTAATTATAGTTGTTCAATTGAGCTACCAAACACTAGATCTTGTTTCTTGTAACTGTATTTGTGTACTCATTAACCAGCTTCTCTTTACCCACTGCCTGCTACCCTTCCCAGCCCGTTAACCACCAAATATTCTATTCACTGTCTCTATGAGATCCCGTTTTTTAGCTCCCCCATATGAATGAGAACATGTAACATTTGTCTTTCTGTGCCTGGCTTATTTAACTTAGCATAATGTCCTCCATTTCTATCCATGTTATTGCAAATGACAGGATTTTTTTTTTTTCTGATGGCAGAGTACCATTCCATTGTATGTATCTACTGCATTTTCTTTATCCATTCATCTTCTGATGGACAACTTAGGTTGATTGGCTTGGCTATTGTGAGTGGTGCCACAGTAAACATAGGAGTGCAGACATTTCTTCAACATACTTATTTCATTTCCTTGAGATATATACCCAGAAGTGAGATTGCTGGATCATATTATAGTTCTATTTTTAATTTTTTAAGGAAGCTCAATACCATTCTCTATACTGGCCATGCTACTTTACATTCTCACCTACAGCATATGCAGTGTATGAGGGTTCCCCTTTCTCTGCATTCTCACCACTATTTGTTATTTTCTGTCTTTTTTTTTTTTCCTTTTTTTTTTGAGACAGAGTTTCGCTCTTGTTGCCCAGGCTGGAGTGCAATGGTGTGATCTCGGCTCACTGCAACCTCCGCCTCCTGGATTCAAGCGATTGTTCTGCCTCAGCCTCTCAAGTAACTGGGATTACAGGCATGCACCACCACACCCGGCTAATTTTGTATTTTTAGTAGAGATGTGGTTTCACCATGTTGGCCAGGCTGGTCTCGAATTCCTGACCTCAGGTGATCTGCTTACCTCAGCCTCCCAAAGTGCTGGGATTACAGGTGTGAATCACCACACCCGGCCTATTTTCTGTGTTTTTGGTAATAGCCATTTTACATGGGGTGAGATAGTATCTCATTGTGGTTTAAGGTATAGAATACTAGGTTTTGAATGAATAATATTGAAGAAAATTTTGGTTTTTATATTTATGCTGTGATTAAATTATGGGAGTGTATATTTAATTTGTAAAAAACTAAGTGATAAATTCCTAAGAGAAAGAAAGAACAATGCGTTTAGTGATTTTGCTCAGTCACTCTCAAAATCATATGTACTGGATTAAACACATGATGTAACTCATGAATTTGCTATTTCCTTACTAAGTCCTAATTCTTGTAGGTTTCTCATCATGAGAGAATCTTGCTTATATGGTAATCATGGATTGTGTGTCTGTGATCTTCCTTCAAAAAAGGGGTTGTCATTTAATTTCAAGGAGGGCAGTTAGCTGACAGCCTGTAATATGGCACCTTCAGGATCCACTGCAGCTTTTGAGCTGAGTTCATGCTCCTCTCACACAAGCCTATGCAGTGCCTGAGTGTGGCAGAGGGCACTAGGGCCTGGTGTTTTCTGCCCAAGACTGGGTCCTCTAATGGGCACTCTGCAGTGGAGCTCCCTGTTGGCTTGGCTACAACTTGTCAGATCTACATTGCAACAAGAGGGTCTCCTTGCCAATTTCTACTTTTTCTTTTTTTTTTTTTTTGAGGGAGTCTCACTCTGTACCCCAGGCTGGAGTGCAGTGGCACCTGCAATCCCAGCACTTTGGCAGTCCAAGTCTTGAGGTCAGGAGTTTGAGACTAGCCTGGCCAACGTGGTGAAACCTCGTCTCTACTAAAAATACAAAAATTAGCCAGGCATGGTGGTGCATGCCTGTAATTCCAGTTACTCTGGAGGCTGAGGCAGGGGAATCGCTTGCTTTTTTTTCTCCTTTTGTCTTTCACAGGCATTAGTCTCCCTCCAGTGAGCCTCCCTCATGCACCCTGCAGATTCTAAGCTCCCTCCAAGTCCTCAAAGCCTCAAGAGGTGGCTCCCTCCTTCCTACTGAGAGCCAGTTTTCCCACTGCATGGGGAGGCACTGCAGACTTCTCACTCTTGCAACATCGCAGAGCCCACCTCAGAAGGTGCCCCACCTTTTCTCCTGGCTACCAAACCAAAACTAAATTTAAGTCACAGCTTACTTATGATGTGCTAAGCAAGTTGAAGGTGATATGCCAAAGGATGACTAAGAAAACCAGCTATACTGGAGGAAACCGTGGCAGTTCCTATGGACTGGATTTTGAGGGTGCCTGATTAAGGTGTCCAGAAATAAAATGGGGACACTCTCAACATATGGGATTTAACACCAGGGAAGAATGCAAACTTCTTGAGAGAATGACTCCTAGAAGTCTGGAAAACAATCTGGCCCCCATACTGGGTGAAGATCCAAGGCTCAATGGCTATGGCAGATGGTGGAAGAAAGGACTGAAAGGCTCAGCCCAGATGCCATGCTGGAGAGGGTATAAGATTGGAGTCCAGGGAACCCACCAGAAGATTATGTTCCCCAGCAAAGCCCAGATAACTCAGAATTCCTGGGCTGCTGCACATGTGCTGATGAGACAGGCACCTGCATCTTTACCTTTTGTGAAAGTTCTGTTCTGCAGTGGGGATGATGGTGTCTCAAAGCAATAGATATCAGGCAGTAACATGTAACCACCAGCATCTAGGAGCAATTTGTAATGATTGAGAAGATCACAGTGACAAGGAAGATGGACAGACTCACGGAGAATTGTGGAGATCATTTATACAATGAAATAGAAACCGTTTTCTAAGGGACAAAATAGGTAGGTAGTGAATAACGGTACTGCCCAATACATGTAATCAAAATAACAAGTTCTACACCACTAGGATTATTTCTCTGATCCACAGTCTGTAAATTCTGAGTGGGACCTGGAGCAGAAGAAGGGTCTGCCCCAGGCTATGTGCAGGCATCCCTGCCATGCACGCCATGTGTCAGTGGTGGAAAGTGATGCAGGGATGAGTTCATGACAGTGGGGGATTCTCAATGTAGAGTCCTGGGGTTCTGCAACAAGGAGAAGCCATTTGCAATGAAGAACTATGCATCATCATCCCACTGTGCCCTGGGAGGAAGGAATGTTTGAGACTAAGTGACCATGCATCCAGGCCTTCTATTATGAGCTGGGTTCTGCCAGAATCATAAATTCATCAAGCCAGACAAGCATCATAATAATCTGTCACAAAATGGAAATGGAACAGCTGAGATTGAGCTCAAGCAGAACCAGAGGGCATGAGTACACTGCATGATAGCCTTGTGTCCCTCCCTCACTTCACACTGTTGGCCCTATGGGGGTCCCATAAAACAAACTGAGGGAAGGAAAATAAATTACTAAAGTTGATCAACAGGTAGATTATCTCCGTATAGAGGTCCAAGCTAAAATGGATGGTTGGCTGCGTTGTAGCCATAGTCAGGGGTGGCTTTGAAAGATAGTGGTGATATAAGACCTTCCCAATGAGACAGCTTTAAGTGATGCGCTTGATCATGCACTTTATGTAGCAGGGAAAATGGCCTGAGCGGAGACTATGTAAATATTCATGGGCAGTGACTACAAATGGCACTGGACTGGCTGGTCAGGGGCTGAATGGCCTGGCCTAGCCAGGCAGGGGCTGATATAGAAAAAGAGTGGAAGATCACAAAGAGACAAGAAAAATGAAGAAAAGTGAAGACATCCCTTACAGTTGCACTCCAGAATAATCTATAAGAAGGAAAAGGGTGAAATTAACTCAAGAAATGTTGATGGATGCAGGACCTAAGGTGGTGGGGGCTGGGATGATCAGTCACAAAATCTCAGATAATAGAACCCAAAAGACATCAGTATTTGAAGGAGACCAAGAAACAGCAAAAACATTCACACCAAAAAAAAATCAATCACTGTAATAAGTCTATTAGTGCAATAAAATTGAACTACCTTACAAATGTTTTGAGAATTAAGGGTAAATTCTAAAATACTTCTACTGTGTTAAAAAGAATAAATGGAAATTAACTAGTAACAGAAAACCAAACACTGAATATTCTCACTCATAAGTGGGAGTTGAACAACGAAAACACATGGACATAGGGAGGGGAACATCACACACTGGGGCCTGTCAGAGGATTGGGGGAGAGGGGAGGGAGAGCATTAGGACAAATACCTAATGCATGCCGGGCGTAAAACCTAGATGATGGGTTGATAGGCGCAACAAACCACCATGGCACGTGAATACCTGTGTAACAAACCTGCACATTCAGAGCATGTATCCCAGAACTTAAAGTAAAATGAAATAAAATTAAAAATATATATAAATAAATGAAATTAAAAACCTAACATTAATTACTATTAGTTTAAGGTTTGGATATCATCAACCATATCATTATTTACCATGCTATTACTTTATTGTAGTTAAGTACATTTTTGAGGGTTTTCAGGGATTTATTCCAGTTTTATTTTCACATCAATCATAGATTCCTTAATTGCCAAATTTTCCACTGTGGGAGGTTTCTGGAATCTAATACCTATTGTTGAGGAAAAGCTATGGTATCTTAAATTTTCTTTTAGGGGTTGATGTCACATGCTGGGAATATATGATCTCAGTATGAAAGCCCCCTCTTACACTGAAAAATTTCCTTTTCAGCTCACCTTAATAGTATCTCTTCAGGGAATGTAATCTCGGTTTTTCTCTAACTTTACTCAGAGGTTTGTTTTCTGCTATTATAACCATAATTATTGTCATTATTAAAACATTTATAGGCTCTTATGTCTCACTCAGACTGTGAAACACAAGTACCCATAATAGCGTGGCTGGGGTTGGTCTCTAATCATTGAAATGAAAAGCGACTCTTGTAGATTTTACACGCCTTCCTGTTCTAGGGCTCTCTTCATTTTTGAAAATAACTTTTTCTTTTAATTACAAAAGTTCTTTGTTGGCACCTTCAGAAATGTGCAAATTTTTTTTTTTAATTCCAAAATTACCTTTAATCCCACCACTAAGAGATGGTTGACTACAAACATCACCTCTGCCTCCACATACTACTTCCTCCCAGCTGAAGAAGAAATAGACCAAAATTGTTTTACAAGTAGTTCATCTCAGTATGTGAGTACATGCTGAAAATGGAGAGGAAAATAATAGAGCAGATGGAGAAACAATAATGGGAAATAATAGAGGAAAATTGTCCTGAAATTAAGACAAATGTGAGTCTTCAGATTAAAAAATTTACTAAGGGCCTAGGTAAAATGATAGCAAAGGAAAGATAACTAAAGGTGATGTAATTCGAATGAAAATTCAGAATTTAAAAAAGAAAAATGTTATTAATATTACCATGGAAAAAGAAGGCAACAGAGAAAGGGGGAAGAGGTAAATTTGGCATAAACTTTTTCTCTTCATAAATCCTTTTCTTTTGGGGATGAAAAATTGTGATCCCAGGCTTCTAAACAAAGGGAAGCTATGACTTATTCACGCATGAGGGTTAAACAGAGTTCTCAGACACACAGGTCTCAGAAAATAAATCATTCTGAAACTTTTGTGAAAAAAAGTACTTAAGGATATATTCCAACCTAATAATTGAATAAAAATAACAGTCATAAGAACTGAGAGAATATGATGGAAAAGTAGAAACAAATGAAACTCATAAACCTTAAGAGTTTTTTTCATATTTACAGGCAAAATATAAAGAATACAATGATCATATTAAAAATAATCATTGAAAGGGGAGATTACTAAAGTAAGTAATTTATCAATAATCATCCAAATTGTAAATTACCGAGAAGTCCAAAGGAGGGAGAAAAATAAAAGCAAGATGATCGAGTGAACATACTTTGGGTTATAAATATTGTTTTATGATTGATATTAATAGGGGAGTCTGCAGGATATGTAACTTTCTAATCACTGGAGAGCACAAGAAATAGCAAAATGTGGAAAAGTGCTCCTTATTTATAAAGACTAATTTTTTTCACTAACAAATTTTAGTGATTTTTTTTCCTACATGTGTAAATATTCCTTTTGATGATACCACAGAACAGAGTATTTATATAAGTACCCTCTAGGGTTCCCTCCCTCCCTCCCTCCCTCCCTCCCTCCCTTCCTTCCTTCCTTCCTTCCTTCCTTCCTTCCTTCCTTCCTTCCTTCCTTCCCTCCCTCCCTCCCTCTCTCCTTCTTCGTTCGTTCCTTCCCTCCCTCCCTCCCTCCCTCCCTCCCTCCCTCCCTCCCTCCCTCCCTCCTTCCTTCCTTCCTTCCTTCCTTCCTTCCTTCCTTCCTTCCTTCCTTCCTTCCTTCCTTCCTTCCTTCCTTCCTTCCTTCCTTCCTTCCCTCCCTCCCTCCCCGTGTCTGGCTCTGTAGCCCATGCCGGAGTGCAGTGGCGTAATCTTGACTCACTGAAACCTCCACCTCCCGGGTTCAAGCGATTCTCCTGTTTCAGCCTCCCGAGTTGCTGGGATTACAGCCATGCACCACCACACCTGGCTAATTTTTGTATTTTTAGTAGAGATGGGGTTTCACCATATTGGTCAGGCTGGTCTTGAACTCCTGACCTCGTGATCCACCAGCCTCGGCCTCCCAAAGTGCTGGGATTACAGGCGTGAGCCACCGCGCCTAGCCTATATAAATACCCCAGAGTTTTTAAACCAACATCGTATATTTAATGTATTAGATAATGTTGCCCAGTTGTCTTTCAGAGAGTTTGTATTGTTTTCCAGTCCCACCAGCAATGAATGACAGTGCCTGTCTCCTCACATCCTAGCCAGCATGCTGCTAAAAAAAATCATTGTTGTCTCATTTTATCTCATTCACTAAATTTTTCATTCACACAGGAGATTTTTCCCGCCATGAAATAAAATTTTATTTTTGCTTAAAAATGAGATAGTGATATATTTATGTGTCAAGCATATTTTTTTTTCCACAAAATAATTTAAAATCTGTTTTTCAGAATAGAACCAACTGTTAAATGCTTTCTGGTTTCAGCAAATATTTTGTTTGGGGCCAAAATTATGGTCAAGTACCTTCAAAATATTTGGTAATAATGATCATCATTCCATTTGATAAGGCAAGAGCCCTTTGGTGCAAACACAAAAATTGATTGTGATTATGATTAGGTTTGGGTAATCATTTTGCAAATAATATTTCTGATTTTAATGTATAGTGTTCAAATATTCATTTTCATGTGTATCTTGCCATAGGGAGGAACATAATTGTAAATTACTATGTTTTTTTAGAGGTTTTCATTTTTTTTGGTAACACTTCTGTCACCATTCCACCACCACCTTCTCTCTTTTTTATAAAAGTGGAAAATTATATACAGTATAATCTGACATATCAAGAAATGTCAATAAAAACATATGGATCTCCAGTAAAAGCAGAATTTGACTACCCAGCATGGCTGATGGAGGAAAATATAATTTAAGAATTTTTATTATCACAAGAGAATCTTTGTTATCACAAGAGAATGCCAAATTGTGGGCAATTTTTGATTATGTATAAGTTTATACCTATGAAATATAAAATATATTTTTATTAAACATCACAGATAAAACTGTACTTTGGTGGGCAGTTTGGTAATATGGATCCAAACAAACCAATGAACAAAAATATATATACACATTGCTCTGGCAATTCTAAGATGCTCCTTCCATTTTTGGGTATAATAACAATGTCAAAAAAAATCATGTGCACTGTCATTGTTGCATACTGGCTAAATAAGTTTAAGTGTCTTCTTCTGAAGTGACATTATGTATCCATTAAGAATAAGGGAGAACCAGCCGTAAAGTATTATATTTTTATATCGCATTGATTCCATGTAAGTTACACAAATGTTCCATAAACATATAAAAGGTAAACTGAAAATTAATGAAAAAAAAATCTTTGTGACTCAGGGACATTGAATAACTTTTAAACAAAACATTCACATCACAGACCATAAGAAAAAATGTATTTGATGACACTAAAAGTAAAGATTTGAGATTAATAATAACATGCATAAAGTGAAGGAACAGATGACAACATAAGAAAAGATATTTGTAATATTGAAAATTGACCAAAAATTACCTTAATATACAAGAAGCTCCTGCAAATCAACATAAAAAGATACCCCAAGAGGAAAATAGGCCAAAATGTGCATAGGCAATTTAAGTGGAAATCTGAAACCGTACAAATTAAGAGAAATTCAGATTACAGCAACAATGACATATCCTTTTACTTATTAAATCTTCAAAATGTAGAAAGCTGGGTGAAATGTAGAAACCTAGTAGGAATGGCGACGTGAGGATGTGGAGACCTTGGTGACCTGCTGGTGGGAAAACAAGCTGATGCAGCCATTTTGGAAAGCAATCTGATAGTATTTAGATAAATTAAATACATGCATTCTGGAAAAAACAGTGGTTTTGCTCTTAGGCATATTAACTAAAGAAAATTCTCATTGTGATTCATACAAGGACATGCATGAGTGTGTTTCTCTCAGTGTTATTTGTGGTGTGAGAAGTTCAAGGCAGTATCTGGATGCCTCTCCCTGGGATAGTGAATAGGTAAAAATGGTGGGGTGCACCACGGAGTACCATGTAAAAACAGAAGAGAGAACATGCAGAAATAGGCATGTAAAACAGGTGTGGAGGGGACAAAGTAAGGTGTTGAATAGGATGTGTAACAAATACAATCTATGTAAATTAAGAATGCATATAAATGTTGAATATCTTGTTGGCACGCAGCAATACCAAATTTGCTATAACCATCCAAATAAAATGAATGATTGTTGTTAGAGAGTAGGGGTGTGAGGAGTGGGGGGAGTGGAGATAAATGGGATTAAACACACAATTAAAGAAGATCAATGATAGTACTGTGCCAGACACTGAGGAAGATGTTTAAAGTCCCACCACCTCACAAAAAATAAATCAGTAAATGCTAAAATGAAAGGTGTATTAATCAGTTAACATGAACAATTTTAAAAGAATTTGT